GGCTGGCGGGAGCCGGGCGTCGTTCCTCGCCTGCCAGCCAGCATTGCTATGGCAACGCAGCTGCCCCGGCTATGTCGCTGCAACCCGCCCCTCCGTCGCGGGTGTTCATGGAACTGGTTCCCTGGGCTAACCTGGGCCGGGAAAACAACCCGATCCCGACCTTGGAGACGCAGCCCGTCGGCAGCCGTTCCCACGCTGCGAAGGCCCACCCCGGAGCCCGCGAGGTCCACGTGAGCGGCGCGGCCGAGGTGTCCGCCAGCCCGGACCGGGCGCAGGTGATCGTGCGGGTGAGCAGCACGAAGGAGGCAGCCGCCGAGGCCAAGAAGAGTGTGTCCCGCCGCCTGGACTACATCACGCAAAGCCTCCAGCAGCAGGGTCTGCAGGTGAGCCTGCGGGGCGGGTGACCCTGGAGCTTTAGGGCAGATGCTTTGTTACCCCGGTATTCCTTCCAGGGCGCAGTGGATGCTTTGACCCTCCCTTCTCGAATCTAAATGACAGCAGTTACTGAACCTGAAATCCCGAATGCAGATTGGGGAGGTTTTTAATCTGGTCACCTTTGCTCCTCCGGTGATTTTGTTTTTAAGCTTAGAGCGATGAAGTGTTTTCTTGAAAAGTTACCTGTAAATGCTTGCCTAAGTAGAGGGTTGGACCACAACCCCCCTTTGTGGGTAGTTTTTATTCTGCCTACATGTTGAAATTGGCAGGTGAGGAGGAGCTTGAACTGCGTCCTCCCAATCAAAGGTTCCTGTGGAGTGGGTCTTAAGTGTCATTGCAGATTTAGCACCCGTTTTTGGTTTACGATGACCACCTACTCCACATTTCCCAACTTTTTTAGTTTTAACTTAAAAAAAAAAATCAGGATGTGTAGCTATCATAGGTAAAATGCTTCTACTTCCTAGACACATCCGTGAAACAAATCACCTTAAGCCTCCTTTAAGGAATGGGGCAAAAACGGAAATAGCCCTAGTTACTCCACACATCAACTCTTTTAGGCATGTTTTAATATCCCAGTTTTCCAGATTTAGAGAGATAAAATAATGCTCTGAACTTTAAAGAACGATATTTGAAACCCTATTCCTGAAACCACAATCGAGGTTGCTTTCAACTTTGTCACGCTTCAGAAACTTAGAAGCCACAGACAGCTATCTCAAGGTTATCGTTGTACAAAACAGGACCCGAACTGCAGGAACCATGATTTTCTGGGGTAACTTTGAATTGTTCAAAGTGAAACAAAATCTTACTTCTGTACTAGAAATGCCATACCTTCGAAAATCAGGTCTCTATTTTTAAAAGAAAATGTATTTGTGTTGCATTTAAAACCAGAATAACTGAAATGACCTGGGTGGGGGAAAAACAAAAACTTTCTAAGTTATTTTACAGTTTAGAAAGTTTAAATGTTAATTGTAAATAATGTAAATAAAGTGGATTTAAAATATAAAACAGTCTCCTAAGTAACCTGTTGCAGTCCTGTTTGAATAATGTAGTTAGTATTTTATGTCATTAATAATCTGAATCCATGTTTCTAACTCCTAATATGTAAAACAAAATAAATACAGTAATTACATTCAAAGTCATTGTTCAAGGCAAGGTACAGGAGGACTGTAATCTCCCAAATTATCTTTGCTCAAGGAGGAAAGCACTCATACAGATAGTTTGTTCAACAGATAGTATAAAAATCACTAATGGTATTTCTCAGGGTAAATTATGGTCTTCACAAAGTCTTTATAACATTATATATTTTAAACTCTGAAATATTGGCTTGTAAATACATACTCTTCTGATTCAAGGACCCCTTTCAATCTAAATACCTGCTTAAGGGGTGGAACCTGACTTTCTCATCCTTTCTCCCTGGCTTCTGTCCCCTCTCAGTCTAGATAACTTCTACTTGTTTTTAAAGACCCAGACCAAAATCACAGTCTTGGCATTCCTTTCTCAACCCTAATCCCTGCTATACAATTCTCCACTTTTTACTTCAAATAAAGTGTGTCAGTCAATTTAATTCTTGCACTGCTCACTCAGAATGATGACATTTGAGTAATGTTCATATACATAATGCATATAATGGAAAATGCTTTTAAACAAGAGAAAAAGTTGAAACAATTCATAAGCTGTTAGCTCAATTATTTGTAGATCATGGATTTATGAATTTGTGTGAAGATATAGCAATCCATTTTAGCATTGTTTTATTGGGAAAATGTTGTAAAGTTCTGAATAGTGTTTACTTAGCCGAGAACCATTTATTAGGCATCTCAATTTCAGCTCTGCGTGGTACTTAACCTAATGTGGTCTTAACTTCAGGGGCTGCTATAACGAAATATCACTGTTTGAGTAGCTCCCAAAACTTAGTGTTTGTAGTCCTGGAGGTTAGCAAGGCTAAGGCTTTGATTTGGTCTGGTGAAGATTCAGTTCATGGTACATAGATGGCGCCTTCTCCCTGTGTCCTTACATGACAGGAAGGGACAAGGCATCTCACTGGGGCCTCTTCTTACTAAGGACACAACTAGTTCCATCCATAAGGCTTCACCCTCATCATCTAATCTCAAAGACCATTTTATACCCTCACACCTGTGATTAGGTTTTAATACATGAATGGGGCATACAAACATTGCAGATTAGAGTGAATAATTTGTTTGCCTACTCATAATTGTACTATTTTCAATAACTATATATGCCTCAGGCAAGTTGGTAAGCAATAAGAAGAGAGATAATGATTGTGTGTGTGTGTGTGTGAGAGAGAGAGAGAGAGAGAGAGAGAGAGAGAGAGAGAGAGATTTGAAAGGCAAAATATTTAGAGACATTTATCTTTTTTCTCCAAACCTGACTTATCACCAGTTCCCAAAGTGCCAATCACACAAGTATGTTTAGTTTTTTCTTCCAGTAAAAGCTTTAAAAAGCAACTATATGTTTCTTTTTTTAATTTATATATTAATTTTATTCTATGTTTTTTTCTTTTTCCCCTTTTATTAAACATAGATTCTTTTCTTATACAATATAATCTGAATACAGTTTTCCTTCCCCCTACTCCTTCCAGTTCCTCCCTACCTCCACTCTTTTCTATCTCATTAGAAAAGAACAGGCTTCTAAGAGATAGCAACCAAACATTTAAAAAAAAAAAGTATAAGATAAAACAGAAATCATCATGTCAAAGTTGGAAAAGACAAGCAAACAGAAAAATTAAAGAACCCCAAGAGAAGGTGCAGGAATCATCGAGCTGCTCCTTCACACATCCAGGGGTGTCATACAAATACTAAGCTAAAAGCTATAGTGTATATGCAGGGTACCTGGTGCAGACCCATGTAGGCCCTGTGATTTTTGTGATCTCTCAAGGCTTGCTTGAATCACACAGTCTATGAGATCATATGAGTGTTGCTTAGTTATTTTAGAAGGCCTTTGTTCTCCTGTTGTCCCTCCCCTCTTTCTTGCCCACTGCTCCTGCCTCCTCTTCCCTGAGGCCTGAGGGAAGGGATTTGATGGAGACAGAGGCAATAAGTTTTCAGTCTTCTGCTGCTGGAAACCCATGCTCAGAATAGAACAGTATGATTCATGCTGCCATGAAAGTACATGTATAGTACTTATTTTACCTTAAGAATTCCAGAAAGACTTCATAAAGGAAGTGACATCGGTCAAAATGTTAAGCACTGGCCAAAGACCAGTTCCACATCAGAAATGCGGCAGGCAGGCAGGCAGGCAGGCAGGCATATATATGCTAACAGCACTCTGAGTAGTTTGGTTCGGTGTGGCTGCAACGCAGAAGACACTGGGCAGCCTGGGAGAGATTTCAGACACTAGAGGAGAGAACTGGAGGCTGAACATAGAAGTGTGTGGCTATACAGCTTTACTGACAAGCAACCTGAAAGAGAAAGAGTCTATTGTGGTTCAGTTTCAAAGGGTCTCACCATGGTGGCAGGGAAGGCCTGGTGGCAGGAGCCACTAAGTTTCTGCAGCATGACCTGTTCACATAACCCTGAGCAGGAAACACAGAATGGGACCAGAAGTTCATAGACATGGTATTTTCAAGTTAAGCTTTTTCCATATAAATTTTTAGTCATAATACTTTGCCCATTTTTCTTTGCCTTTTCTGCCTTTTAAGATTACCAATAACTTATTGATGTCATATATGCAAAAAACAAATCTGCATCTTGGTCATATAACTTACATAGTTTTAAGCTCTCAAAGTTTTGACAGTTTATTTAGCCAAATTTGTTCATCTTTTTTGTATGTTTTCTACCTTTAATATACTGTTTATTCAGTCCATAGTTCTAAGGCAATATGGCCATTAGATGACACATCCTGGAACCTTTAGAGACCCTAATAGTTCATTAAATATTCTATGCTTGGAGTTTATTCTGGTAAAATAACAAGAGTTTTATTTTCTGTTAACAAGATAGGAGGCTGTACCTGATATCCTTCATTAGTCAGTGTTAACCTCGAAAAATGATAACTCACCTTTAAAAAAAAAAACACCATTTTACATAACTGCAAAGTCAGCTTATTTTGTGGCTAGTCAGGTTTGATGTGGCTAGTCCCCTGACTTTCCTGGTGTCTTCCTGTTTGACTCAACGTGCTGCAGCCATCCCAATCCTTATACCACACAATGATAAGTCATCCTAAGAAACAGCCACAGTTAGTTATTGTAACCACGTTAGAAAGTCCTGTAAGCTGGAGACATGGTTCAGTGGTTGAGAGCACTTGTTGCTCTTTGCCAAGGACCTTTGTTCAATTCCTAGTACACACATGGCAGCTCACAGCCCTCTGTTAACTCCAGTTTCAGGAGATCTGATGACCTCTTCTAAACTGTATGGGCACCAAGCATACACATTGTACATATACATATATGTGAGCAAAGCTCTCATACACAGGAATAAATACAGAAACAAGGCCTGGTGGACAACCTAAACTTCTGTTTGTGGCAAGAGAAATGCTATAGACAAACTAACTTATATTTTGCTATCTGCATATCTGTGGTAAGCAATTGTGCTAATCCAAAATGGTTGTGATCTCTCAAGGCTTGCTTGAATCACACAGTCGCTGCTCAGGAGGAGGAGAGTAACTATGACATAAGGATTCCATACTGCCTCTTGTTTTGAAATATTCCAAGTCTTTGGATTTTGCATTCTTAGGAGATTTTGACCCAGACCTAGAGTAAAACAATGGGTTCTTGGGGTGCTCCTATATTATCCACAGTTTAAATTATTACATCTTTGTAAAGCCTTTAAGGCCATGTTCTCCCCTCATTACTGTCCTGGAAGGATTTCCTGCCTGCAGGGAACAGGGCATGTTCAATGGGAACATGGAGATACAGTCTGTAATTGTGATGGTAAAAACTTCTACAGTACAAGTAGAACTTCCCTTTATATTTGCTATTAGGCATATATATTTCAGAACAACTGCTGATTTTACAATATTGTGCCATAGTAAGTATATTCAAAATTTTTCTGTACAGTTGTATGGTTTTTTACTTTTTAAGTTTATTCATATATAGCTTTTTATGGCCATTGAGACTGTTACCCTACTTTTTCATATTACTTAAATATCTATTCCTGTATTGACCAATAATGTGGAAAGCTATAGAGTCAGAACTAGATTGACCACAGATAGTTTATTAAGGAAGTACTCACGAGACATTCAGCCAGGCAGGAGAGGGAAAAGAGAGCTGCATGCATCCCTTATGTTTAAAGCCTTGCTACGTCACTCTGACCACACCCACCTGTGCCAGCCCCCAAGCGGGTTCGTGGTAGGCATTTCCCCCTACAATTCCCCTTTTAGTCTAAAAGAGGATTAAAACTTAGCTGTGTAATTGTCTATAATTAACAATCATCAAGGGGAATTACAAGAAGTTATAATAATCTACTAATGTCACATCTTAACTATATCTATTCCAACTAAACCTTAAAGTCATCTGAAAGAGACGTCCAAGCTTGAGCACCTCCTTCCAAGCCCAACCTAAAACAATAGGAAACTAGCACTAACTAGGTGTCAACAGTGGGAAAAGGGGCGTAGTATTCTCCAAGCTACTTCCTGCTGAACTGGGACGAGGACAGTCTCCTGGGGTCCTGTGGGAAGAAAATGTTAGTATAGTGAAAGTCCTGAATGGGTTATATCCAGTCCGTGTCTGGTGGGACATGCTTGATTGAAGGTCCAGGTTGAAGTCCTTATCTTGATTGAAGTTCTTGTATTGATTGAAGTCAGTACCCGAAGTTCTGGCCAGAGTGTCAGTTGAAAGGAAGCAAGTTGGATCCAGTGTACTCGAGAAGGTGTGGCCCATTTTCTTTCTGGAGTGTCCAGGGATTGCTGTCAGGCAGTTCTTCATTGGCTGTGTGTGACTCAAACATAAATGTTAGCAGAGAAATTTTTACTTGTATATGTGTGCATACCGGGAAAGGCAACAATGGGAAAATAACAATCATGAGGGATGTATACCTGGAGAGAAAGAGCCAAAAAAAGACAAATGACAGTCCCCAATTTTTCTCTTATTCTGTATTACATCAATTGGCTTTTTGATATAGTACAGAAACTCTGAATTTCATTTTAACAATGTACTTGGATTTAGAGGAGGAAAGCCAAATCCAACTCTAAAGCCAGCATTGGTTTAATTGAATAGGGACTAGGAAGTAAAGAGAAATAAATGTAGATGTATTTTTAGAGTTTTGTTTGATGGATATGGCTACCTTCTCTTCTTTAAGTATCTACCGATGGAGTGTCTTTTGCCTTCTGGAGATGAGTTTTCCTGTAAAAATAAAAACAAAACACTTCCCTTTCCTTTGTGAGGTTTCTATACAGTTTATGAGAAGTACCTTGGTTGTATACCTGTCATTTCTCCTCATCCAGAGGAATTTCTTTTTTGACTTGAATCTTGATCAATTTTGATGTTATAATATTTGAAAAACTGTTCCAATTTAGTGGAAACATATGCTGGAGCATTGTCAGTTTTATCTGCTTTCCACCCATTGTAATTCTTTTTCCATCTCAGCGAATAATGTTCGTGGACTGTTTAAGTCCTTGTTCCCTTTAAGGGCCATTTTTAAATGCTTTAAGTCATGTCCTACACCAATTATTGTCTGTAGTTGAGAAATTTCTCCTAGCAGTTTCTGCAAACGATTAAGATTTTGATAACGATCTCTTCTAATTTGTACTTTTTGAGGCCTGATTCTTTGTAAGTCTATCTTGTAACCTAAATAATTAATAGAATCTCCTCTTTGTATCTTTTCTGGGGCAATCTGTAAACCCCAACGAGGTAGAACTTCCTTCACTGTTTCAAACATTCATTCCAATGTTTCTTTATTAGAATCTGATAATAAAATATCATCCATATAATGATAAAGTATGGATTGTGGAAATTTATTATGAATTATCTCTAAAGATTTTTGCACAAAGTGCTGGCACAAGGTAGGATTATTTAACATTCCTTGTGGCAAAACCTTCCACTGAAATCTCTTAACTGGATGTGAATTATTAAGAGTTAGTACAGTAAACACAAATTTTTCTCTATCATTTTCTTGTAACAGTATAGTGAAAAAACAATCTTTCAGATCAATGACTATGATCAGCCATCCCTTAGGAATCAAGGAATGCAAAGGCATTCCAAGCTTCAGAGAGCCCATTGGCTGAATTATTTTATTGATGGCTCTCAGGTGGGTCAGCATTCTCTACTTACCTGACTTATTTTTGATAACAAATGCAGGAGAATTCCAAGGGCTGGTAGATTCTTCTGTATGTCAGCATCTAGCCTTGCTACATCACTCTGACCACGCCCAAGTGGTCATGGTCAGTGTCACCTGTGCCAGCTCCCAATCAGGCGTGGTCAGCATTTCTCCCTACAGACCAATTTGTTTTAAACGTCTGCCTTTTATATGTATGAAGAAACAAAATTGTAACTATAAGGAAAGCCTCGTGAAATAGGCTGGCATGGTAGATTTTTCAGCCTTAGCACTGTTGACACTTTCAGCTAGATAATTCCCTTTTGTTGGGTTAACCTGTATATTGTAGTGTGTTTAACAATATCTCTGGCCCCTAACTTATAGTGTGGCCAAAATGTAGTCATTTAGGTATATATTGGTAAATACAAAGCCAGACCAAAAGGACAGATGTTTCATTATTCCATTCATATGACAGTCAGAAAGACAAACCTACAGAGGCCGCTCAGTGGTTGACTGTAAAGGAGATCTTGCACAAGAAACCTTGAATGTGGAGGAAAATTCTTCACTGTGCTGGAGAAGTTGGTATATTACTGTAAACATCTGTCAAAACCCAAAGAACTGTGAAGTCACAAAAAGTGAATATTAACATTCAAAAACTGGGGGGAGGCAAGGTATCAAACAGGCTGTTAGACATTAATCCCAGGACAGAATTTAGACTTGATAAAGGAACCCAATTCTGTTATAACAAAGGACACAGCTGTACTAAAGGGGGAGGGTGTCCACTTAAAATAGTGTTTTATCTGGAAACCACAGGGGTAGATAAAAGTGCAGAAACCATGCTCCTCTGATGGATAAATCTGTTTTCCAGCGTATACTAGTTAGCAGTTCAGAAACTGCCTTACCTGTATACAGGTGTTCAGCAAATGTGTGAGCAAATCTTCCTTCTCACTGGGAAGGGGGAATATGGAAGCAGAGTTAATTTACACTGAGTCTGACCTGTGATCAAGCATCAAGGGATTGATCTGAGATGGAAAGGGCATATAAGAAATGACATGCACAAGGACACAGAAAGACTGTTCTCTGATAGAGAGGCTGCAGCACTCCAGAAGCTCACTGTGTTTATTACATGCAGTAGAATGGGGAGGTGGGGTTATTATATATAGCCTAACAAGGAGGCAGGGTTAGTTAATCTCAGAGGAGCAGTCTCGAGGGTGGTAAGTGTGTGTGTGTGTGTGTGTGTGTGTGTGTGTGTGTGTGTGTGTTTAAATTAAAGAGGCAATTTTCTGCATACACTGTCAGCATTCTGACTGGAAAAGGCTTTGCCACTCCCATGGAGCCAAGGCATTGGTGTCCTTGACATGGCTGTGCCCATGTCAAATAATACTCATTCACTCAGCACTTGCTTCCTAGACAGAAGAACTCCATATCTGTGGGAAGGTTCAGGGACATTCATGGTCATCTAAGTGTATTTGTTGGTTGTGGGATCTTCTTTCCTCCTTCCTTCCTTCCTTCCTTCCTTCCTTTCTTCTATTTTTCCTTTGACTCATAGTTGGAGAAATACATTGGGGCAGGAAAGACATAGTGGAATTCTGTATTGTAGTATTATGGGGCCCACTTCTGTCTTTTGTCTTCTCTATCCATGTACTTTACACACAACTCGTTTTTAAATCATTATAACAACCAGCTGGTGTGTCTGTTGACCTGATTTTACACATGTGGAAGCAAAGGCTCAAAAAATACTGAATAACTTACCCAAAAGTACACGATAGGTACTTTGTCAAGTAAGTTCATACTTAATGTACAAGTGAAATAAATGACCAAAACAGAAGTGGGAACGGAGTCATTTCTGAACAGCATTTATAGGCCTCTGATTGATCTCATGGCAGTTTGAAGGAAGTTTGAAACATCAAGGCAGGCAGTTCATTTTGTAAACTGTGTGTCTTCCTATTTCAAACTCAGGCTTCTAAATTCCCAGGTAAAAACAACTGACTTAGTAGCCAAAGGTTTAGTAACTTTACTCTGGTACTTTGTGTTTCAGACAGAAAATGTAACAGTGACAAAGGATATTCGAAGAGTAGAAAATGCATATCACATGGAAGCCGAGGTATGTACAGAGTAATTGAAAGCACTTAACTTTGTGGAGGCAGCTGCAATCTAGCTGTATTCTCAAACTGAAATTTACCAGAGAAATGATTCTTATGGTGATGATAGAAGATGGTTTTTCTTAAAATTGTTCTGATAATATATATCTTGTGATGCTTTAAAATAAGTTTAATGAGATCTACTTAAGAGAAATGGTGTAGCAGGGAAATAGCAGCTAAGTACCACAGACTTTTAGTAATATTATCGGCTGGTGAGCAGGAATCACTACAGGAAAGAAATTTTCCTTAGATTAAAAACTATGTGAAAAAGCTGTAAAACATTCTATAAAGACACTTCTTAAACATTCTCTTGTTTCTCAATACAATTTCATGGTCACTGTGCTAAATATGATTTAAATTTTAAATCATGCAGTCTTTATCCACATTAAGAGGAAGCGCACTGTTTTCAGAATGCTCCATCCTTGAAAACTGAGATGCTGGCATGGCTGTGCTTCTCAAGTACTGGAGGTTGGCTTTTATATCACAGTGTGTCTAGGAGTGTAAGACTGCTGTTTTTGACTCTGTGTTTTCAGATAGATGCTTAGTCATAGGAAATGAAGATGACTGAGTTAGAGTAGAATCTTGTCTACCAGTGAGAAAATCTTTCTCTCTAGAGGTAGAAAACACCTCCGGAAGCCACTGGTGCTCTCCTGTCAGTTAGTGTGTTAGTGCTTCCTAGTATTAAAATCAAGGTTAGATCACTCAGGCTCCTACTTCTCAGAGATGAAGGGTAAGATCAGAGAAGCAGGACAGAATGGACATTGGAAAGGTGACTCCCTTGTCCCTCAGGATAGGAATTTCACCAATAAACAATCGTCTTAATTATCTTGTGATTGCTCTATCTAAAATGCAACTATCACAAGGAAATTTACAATTATTCATTATAAGCTTAGGCATCCATTTGGCATAAATTATTTTGACAGTATGAAGATTCTGAATTATAGAGTTTTAACGTTAGGATGATATTGGCTTCTTCTAAGGGTTTACCTATTAGGGATTCAAGTTGTAATGAATGTAGGAGTAGGCAATCCTAGTTAGGGGGGTAGATACTTTGTTTTTGTTTATTTTTTAGGTGGGGTCTCAATATGTAGCCCACATTTGTTGTAATTTAAGAAAACCGGTGCTCTAGAGAAAGAGCATGTGACAGGGTTCAAGCAGAGGGGTTTTGTTTGTTTGTTTGTTTGTTTGTTTTTTAATTAGGGAAAGGGATCATAAAAAGGGGAAAGGGAAGAGGGGAGACTGGCCTCCAGAGACAGGAACAACAGGAGAGAGGAGAAAGGAAAGAAGGGAAAGAGTGGGAGAGAGAGAAGGATGGGAAATATAGGCAGGGCCCTTTTAAAAGGGATCATACTGAATATGCACAGGTGGTGCTCTTAATGGCTGCAGCTGAGGGCGTATCCTGTCAAGAACAGGCCAGTACAGATGCCTGAATACTAACACTAGTCTCAAATTTATGCTCTTCCTGTGTCAGCTTACTGAGTGCTGGGTTACAGTCTGGCACCATCACCCCCAATTGTACATAGGTTTATTATTATAAAGGTTCACCAAGAGCACAGGGAAGGGATTTTTCCGGTACTGAACAAGGGATGGAAGACCAAAGGGTTTTTCAGATCACTGAGTTGTTCTAAGACTAAAGGTACCAATTCAGCAAGAGTCCTTGGCTGTTTGAGAATTGGGCTGCACTCTGCTCTTCCTTCTCCTGTAGTTTTCTGATGTCTTCAGAAAGAGTGTGATTGGTTGGGTGGTAGTGGCACATGCCTTTAATCCCAGCACTTGGGAGGCAGAGACAGTCAGATCTCTATGAGAGTTCAAGACCAGCCTGGTCTACTAGGATAGCCTCCAAAGCCACAGAGAAACCCTGTCTCAAAAAACAAAAACAAAACAAAAAAAAACAAAAACAAAAAGGAAGGAAGGAAAGAAAGTGTGTGACTCCCTGGACACAGGACTCCCTGGAATCCAGACCTTATACTATACTCTACATCCCAGTATATGGTTGCCTTTAGGTCATTATCAATTGTCAGTGGAGATCATGGTAATACAAGATACAAAGTGCACTAACCTGTTCAAAAAGAAAGATGGGTGACTTTATGGCAATGAATGTAGCAAATTCTACAAATGTCTAACATATTCTAGTCTTCTCATGAACTACTAAATGTATGTATTATGGTTAAATGGTAGTTAGACATATAAAACACATTAGCACAGAAGCACATAATATGATTTAAAAATTTACAGATGGCTTGAATAGATATTTGTAAGCAGGCTTTTCTTTCCCACCTGCCAGTTCCCAAATAACCAAAATGGATACTTATTATTTATAAATGCTTGGCCATTGACTCAGGCTTATTACTAACTAGCTCTTACAACATAAATTAACCCATTTCTATTAATCTATGTATTGCCATGTGGCATGACTTGCTCCTTTTGCATCTCCTGGCAACTCCATTGTCTCTGCCCTTCTTCATCCCAGCATCCTTAGTTTGGGTGTCTCACCTATACCTTCTGCCTGGCTACCTGCTAGTCATTCTTTATTAACCAGTGAGATAATACATATTCACAGTGTACAGAAGGATTATGCCACAGCAGATATTTATCAAAATGCCCCAATGAAGGGGCATTCAGCATCTCTAATTTTCAGAGAAATAGAACTCAAAACCACAATGAATTATAACATCACACCTCTTAGGATGGTTATTATCAAAAAAGCAAAACACAGTGTTATGTGTGGAGGTGGAGATGTTAGAACCTTATACATCGCCAATGGCAATGTAAAATGGTAAAGTTTGTTTAGAAAATAATATGGATTTTTTCAGAATATTAAACAAACTCCCAGATGATCTAGCAGTTCTACTTATGTGTGTATGTCCAAAAGCTTTTACACCATCTGGATCTGGAAGAAATACCTGTACGCTAGTCTCCACATGCCTTCTCTGCAGGGGATAGGATCCAGTGCTTACTTGAAACCACAAACACTGCTAAAGCAGGTATATGTTGTTTCTTCCTAAATGCCCTGCAGTATTGTTGCACAGTAGCAGAATTAATCTCTCCTTTCACACAAAATCTTTTGTCTTCTATTGTTCTTGTGGGAAAACAATGCAAAGGGAGAGCCATGGAGGCCAGAGAGGTAGCTTGGTGGGTAATTGTTCATTGTATGGGCATAAGGACCAGAGCTTGGATCCCTGGCCCCCACAGGAAAAACTGGGCATAGTAGCTTCCGCTATCCCAAACTGGGAGGAGAAGAAAGGAAAATTTGAGGACTCCCTGACCAGCCGATCCAGCCAGTTGGTAAGTTCTAGGTCCAGTGGGAAACCCTGTCTCAAAACGTAAGATGAGGAGAGGTAGAGGAAGATACTCAAGGCTAGCTTCCAGCCTCCACAAGTGCATGCACAGGCCTTTATACCATACCTACATACAGCACCCTCCCCATGTACACAAGCCATCCAGTCTTTAATTTTAGCTGGAGGGAGAGTGCGTAGGGAAGATTGCAGGTTTTAGGCCAGTCTGAAATACATAGCCAGATCCCATCTCAAAAATAAACCATTAAAAGGGGGAGGGGAGCTAATGGTAAACCTAGAATTCTATGTCAAATGTCAAATAAAAATCCAGAAATAAAAGCCAATTAAAGGGTTTTTTCATAAGCTGAGAGAATTCATTACCTAAAGACCTGTTTTTCAGAAATGTTTAGTAGTATCATTTGGGCAAAAGAAAATATCAGAAAGCAAAAGGCATCTGTCTACACAGTGGGATAAAGAACATGGCAAATGGGAACTGTTTATCCTAATAGATATTTTTCTAAAGTATGTCTTTTAAAATCTCACTTACCATACATAGAAGTTAAATAATAGTAATAATGTGTAATTCAAGATGGAAAATATTAAAGTGTACTATTTAGGTTCATATATGCATAATATACCTCTTGTAAATAGATAATGATAAAGCTAGACATGTAAATACTAAAATAGCAGTACAACTAATAAGCAGAGCAAAGCAAGTGTTCCCACACAAAGAACACATCATTCAAATGATAAAGTGGTAATCAAGAGGATATACACTGCTTAATACACTTCTAATATTATACAAAGCTTCAGAATACTTAGTGTAAAGATGATAAAACTTGTAAGGTTTTAGTAGAAAATTAGCTTACACGTTGTGGTCCAGCTAGTCTCCCAATGGAAAGGCCAAGAATCTGGTAGTGTTCAGTCCAGGAGGCTGTATATCTCAGCTGGTTTTCAGTCTAGTTAGAGTCCCAGAGAAGGAGGCCAGTGAGACAGTGAACTCACCAGTGAGGGTAAGGGCAAGCAGGCAAAGAGCAAAAGCTGCTTTCATCCTGTTCAGGTGCTTGGCTTTTAGTTGATGCCCAATGCAGTCAAGTTGATAACCAAGATTAGCCAACACAAGAAGAAAGCAGTAAAAATAGAAGAGATTTGACTGCCAGCCAGTTTGACCTGCTTGACATTTATAGAACACTCATTTCCAAAATAATGCACCCCTACTTTTCATCTGGAGCATTTCCAAGTCAGGTTATGTTCTGGGCCAGTAATAATAAGCACAATTGAAACATGAACAGTATGTTCTCTGACCATAGTAGAATTAAGTTAGAAACCAATAGAAATTTCTCAAGGAAACCATGCAAGTATTTAGCATTTAAGTGGCATGCTTTTCAATAACGTGTATTGAAGAAGAACTTAAACAGGAAAAGGTATATAAGTAAGCTTAAGAAAGACAACATTCCAACTGTGTAGACCTTTCCAGAAACTGAAAAAGGTGTAATACTTCCCAGCTCACTTTTTGGAGTCAGAAGGTAACAAAACTTGGTGTGTATGGAGTGTGGGGTAAATATCAGAAAGAAAACTACAGACCAGTATCAATCAGATATATTAATTTAAAACAAAAGTTTTAGCAACCCCAACTCAGTTATATCTATACATGTAGTAGTGGTTTAGTTTTTATTGTTAACTTGATG